TTTTTCCAAATTTGTGGGTTGCCTTTTCACTTTGTTGGCAATTTCTTTTGACATGAAAAAACTTCTCAGTAAGAGCAAGTCCCAGTTGTTAATTTTTTCAACTGTTTCTTGTGTGATTTGATTTCTGTCCATGAACTCTTTGACTACCCCTATGTCTTCAAGAGTTCCTCTTAATTTCTCTTCCAGGGGATTTAGTGTCTATGTTTTAATGTTTAGATCTTTAGTAAGTTTTGACTTTAGTTTAGTGCATGGTGACAGACCTGGGTCAAGTTTGAGTTTTCACCATGTAGAGAGCCAGTTTTTCCAGCACCATTTGTTAAAGAGGCTATCTTTCTTCCAGTGACTTTGTATGGCGCCTTTGTCAAAGATAAGGTGGCTGAGTGTCTTCGGATGGGCTTCAGAAGGTTCTAATCTATTCCATTGATCCTCAGGTGTATTTTGATTCCAGTACCATGCTGATTTTATCACAGTAGCATTGTAGTATAATTTCAAGTCAGGAATGGTAATGCCACCTGCCTTGTCTTTACTGCCCAGAATTGCCTTTGCTATTCTAGGTCTTTTCCAGTACCACATAAATTTTAGAAATGATTTCTTTATGTCTGTGAGATATTTCAGTGGTAGTCTGATAGGGATTGCCTTAAATCTGTACAGCAACTTTGGGAGTTTGGCCATCTTCACAACGTTGGTTCTTCCTATCCAGGAGCATAGGATATCTTTCCATTTTCTGAAATCCTCTAGGATCTCTTTTTTAAGGGCACTGTAATTTTCCTTGAAAAGATCTTTGACTTCTTTAGTTAGGTTAATTCCAAGGTATTTCATTTTCCTCAGTGCTATTGTAAAAGATATTATTTCTCCAATTTTCCTTTCAGTGTGTTTGTTGTCTGTGTAGAGGAATGCTATTGAATTTTTTGGTATTGACTTTATAACCTGCTATGCTACTGAATTTCTGTATTAATTCTAGCAGCTTCTTGGTGGAATTTTTGGGTGTTCTAAGTAAAGTATCTTGTCATCTGCAAACAAATATAATTTACTTTCTTCTTTGCCTATTCTTATTACTTTTATTTCTTTCTCTTGTCTAATGGCTGTAGCTAATGACTCCCGAAATACATTGAATAGGAGTGGTGATAGAGGACATCCTTGTCTTGTACCCAATCTAAGAGTAAAATATTTCAGTTTTTCCCCATGTAAGATAATGTTAGCTGTTGGATTTTCATAAATGGCTTTTAACAGATTAAAGTACAGACCATCTGTTAAAATTTTTTGTCGCACTTTGAACATGAATGAGTGTTGGTCTTTGTCAAAAGACTTTTTTGCATCAATGGAGATGATCATG